ATATATTCATTGTCGACTTCAAATTTCTAGTGTCTTGAATGATCCTCTTTCATTTTTCCGCAAGTTATATCGTTTCAGCACATTGATTGTCGGTTAGGTGTGTAGTATCACATAAGGAAGATGCCGAAGTTAAAAAACCTTTCTAGAAACCACACTTCTCTCTGATGGCTCAACACCAATGTTAACCTATGTTTAAGGATGTCTTGGATTAAGGAATCATACTTCCTATTACAGTACCACCAGTTCCAATTCCAGCAGTAATTATATCGACATTACCCATTGCATCTTCCCAGTGCTCTGGCTTAATTGACATTACATTGAATTCGCCGTATTGTCAAATTGAGTGTCAATCTCTGTCTTATGGCCAATCTCTTTGGTTTTATCCACTGCACCTTTGAGACCTTTCTCTGGATTTGTTAACACAATTTCTGCTCATAGTGCAAGTAAAAGCATATAACCCAAGAGTACCATAGAACATAATTTTGAGTCTCGCGAAAATTCATGAATAGTTTATTTAAAATATAAAAGAATGATGATAAGAGGTTTCCCTCTTGAAAACTCCTTGCCAATGTTTGCAATGTTAGTGTAGCATGACTACCACTCGAGAGAAAGATTTGAAAAGTTAGTAAGAGTATGTTTGAGATCATGATAAACTAAAAGTTTAAGAGAAATAAGACATGATCTTTTTCCAATTTTTTGGAAGGGATGAAAAAGAGAAGAATATATAGTTGCTAGGGTGAGTGGGAGTCAGAACTCTCTTCCTAAGTATTGCTTTGCGTGAGAACACTACTAAAGGAGTATCATGTTGTTGTGTTCATCACCTCTAACATCGGTTTCTCCATCAGAGATCATTTTTCTTATTTTTTCTCTCTTTCTTATATATTTATAGAAATGACACATATTCTTTCTTGTATTGGTAAAGATGAAAAATGATGTGCATTAGGACATAGATACTAAGTTTATTTTTTTGTTTGTGTTTTTCTTTCATCAAATTTTTTTTCCTAGATTGTAAATAATTATTCTTTCCTTTTGGTAATAAATTAACATTTAAAAAAGCATAAAATCCAACACTTAAATAGGCTTATACTGTACAAACCCTAAATCCTATTATTTTGTTGTTTCTTAAAGAGGGAAATTCAAAAATCTTAACATTGTATTAATTTATTAATGCCAAGACTACTAAACATAATCCCAAATATACATTTGTCGCAAACTTTGATCCTTAAAAATAATAAACGATTTTTTTTTGAAAAAAAAAGAACCAAACTTTTGATAAAAGTTTTGACATTTCCTCTCAACAACTATCATGTTTCCTCCATTTTTTCTTCTTTTTCATCTGCCATGGAAACTTTTCTCTTTGTTCTTACCATTTTTCTATAGAATTGTTAACCTCTTCACTTATATCATAGGTCGCAATTGAAGAAAGTGAAGGAGGATCATTAATATTGTTCATGACATATATTGAAAAATCTCTCGTGGGGAACAATTTATCCGAAAATATTGTTGGCATGGCCTCATAATCTCAGTTGGACAGCCGAAAGAAGAAAGTAGGAGAATTATTTAATCTTCTATGTTTCTCTTTTGGTATCTTTAAACTGTTTCAATTTGCTTATTTGTATAGTTAATTGAAGGTTTCTTGTTTACAAAGTTTGGTGGCAACCAGACAACGTTAATAGATCTTGCATTTCCGGTATAATGACCTGACATATCTTTGATTATTTTCCATTTTCTTATTGAATGGTAAGGTTCTTTGAAGTCATCTTAGATTTGGTATATTTTTTATATGTTGTGACCGATTTTCCATATCATATGCATGATAATTTTGGCAAACTGCACGCCAGGAGCAAGAAGCCTAAGTCAATGAAACAAATAACTCAGTTATTTCGTAACAAAGTTGCCATCCAGTTACCTTTATTCATTTCTTCTTGTTTGAATACACTATTCCTTTTCATTTAATTTTATTATGCTCTTAATTATTTTCTTATGCCCATGAAATTGATTCATATTCATTTCTTCTTAACATGTTATGATTAATATATTTCTACATTTTATTCACTTTCCCATTCTTTTTGTTCTCAGAACCAAATCCACTTATTTTTTAATTTTGGGTTCGGTTTAAGTCCATACAATATGTTGGTTTGCTTTACGGAATTATATTAATCTCAAGACGACTAATTTCCCAATGTTATAAAAAAAATGGTTACTTTTCATGCATTCATGTGATTTCCTTGATGTAAGTGGCTTACTTCAACTATTTAATTCTAAAGCATACATTAACCTTTCGACCAAAAAAAAAAAGAAAATGCATACAACAACCTTCTCTTCTATATTATTATTCTCATTTACATCTAAAACACTAATCAAAAAGCTGATATATCGCTCTTTAATTCTTTTCAAGCAAGCAAACAAACAAAATCGTTGTGATATATCGCTTGCCATAGCTAAATATCAAAAACTGTTTCTATGAAACATGTTAGAGCGGAAGCTACATTGTGATTAATTGTGATATCAATATTTCTCATGAAATACTAAATTTTTAAAGTAGACTTTTCTAAAACCTGAATTT